TTATAGCGTCTACAAACTATGGTATAGATACTGCAATTTAAGTCATTTTTTTGCTATACAGCGCTGCGCTAGTTTAACGGACAACTGTGTGGTCATGCAATATGGTGCAAAAATAAAATTTATGTCCTTTTTCCACACAAATAGAGCTTTCTTCTGGTGGTATTTGATCATCTGTGCATTTTTTATTTTTGGTGCTATAACCAGAAAAATTTTGAAGAAAAAAAATGTTTTGAAAAAAAAACAATATTTTCTCATTTCGGTCATAAACAATATCCAAAAAAACTAAAATTTTGTCATAAAATTTAGGCCAAAATGTATTCTGCTACATGTTTTTGGTTAAAAAAATCCCAGTAAGTGTATATTTATTGCTTTGTGTGAAAGTTATAGCATCTACAATCTATGGTATAGATAATAGAATTTGCACAGCTTTTAGTTTCTGACTGCCCATCACATTTCTTGAGGTGCTAAAATACCAGGATAGTACAAACACCCTCAAATGACCCCTTTTCGGAAAGTAGACACCCTAAGCTATCTGCTTAGAGCAGCAATGGGCAAACTACGGCCCGCGGGCCGTATACGGCCCGGCGGACCTTTTAATCCGGCCCGCGGAGCTAGGCTCCCGCAAGGCCAGTGGTCGGCAAGCCGCGGCTCTTTACAAATTTAGATGCGGCTCTCCTGTGTGCCGGGCGCCCGCTCCCCTCCCTCCTCTCCCCTCCTCTCCTCTCGGATGGCCGCCCCCCCTCTCGGATGGCCGCCCCCTCCCTCCTCTCGGACGTCAGGACTCTGCAGCTGTCAGGATGTAGGCGGGGAAGCCAGGATGTAGGCGGGGCAGCGTGACGAACTCCTCTCACAGTCCTCCCTGAAGACCAGAACGGCGCGGGAATACGAGAGGAACGCGCGGACCAAAGGTAAGTGAATTGACACAGGGGGGGGACTTACTATATGGGGGACTTACTATATGGGGGATGAATTACTATAGGGGGGACTTACTATATGGGGAATGAATTACTATATGGGGGACTTACTATATGGGGAATTAATTACTATATGGAGGACTTACTATATGGGGAATGAATTACTATATGGGGGACTTACTATATGGGGAATGAATTACTATATGGAGGACTTACTATATGGGGGATGAATTACTATATGGGGGACTTACTATATGGGGAATTAATTACTATATGGAGGACTTACTATATGGGGAATGAATTACTATATGGGGGACTTACTATATGGGGAATGAATTACTATATGGAGGACTTACTATATGGGGAATGAATTACTATATGGGGGACTTACTATATGGGGAATGAATTACTATATGGAGGACTTACTATATGGGGAATGAATTACTATATGGAGGACTTACTATATGGGGGATGAATTACTATATGGGGGATGAATTAATATGGGGGATGAATTAATATGGGGGATGAATTACTATGTGGGGGATGAATTACTATGTGGGGGATGAATTACTATGGGGGATGAATTACTATATGGGGGATGAATTACTATGGGGGATGAATGGCTTAGAGGCATATTAAGTCCATGGAAGATTTATTTTTTCCCACAAGTTTCTGGAAAATGACAAATACATTTTTTTTTTTGTGCATGCCCCGTGCAATGGCTACAAATTGCATACATTTTTAATATCCATAGGCAACCCTTTAAAAGTCTTAAAAAGCTACCATTTTAGATTTACAGAGGAGGTCTAGTGTTAGAATTACTGCTCTCGATCTGACGTTCACGGCAATACCTCACATGCATGGTGCAACCGCTGTTTACATACTGCCACAGGGTCATGGCTTGTGCACACAGGTGTGCGTGCATTTTTTTTTTTTTTAAATAATTTTACACTGTACCTTTCATTTTTTTTTTGATCACTTTTAATGCTATCACGGGAATGCATATCCCCTATAACTTCAATGGGCATTGTCATATATTCTTTTTTCAGAAATCTGGGGTCTATCAGACTCTGGATATCTCCTCTGCCCTTACATTATCTAATCAAACCAAAATCGGTGTGATCAGATGCTTTCCCAATTTGCAAATGGCGCTGTTTATATCCTGCAAAACTGAAGTGATGAAATGCTTGTAGCTTCCGAATTCTTAGACTATAGAGATGATTGGCACCACTCTGGTCTCCAATCAGCTCTATGGTCAGCTGGCAGAAACACCAACTGCATTCTCAGGTTCCCCTGATGGCACGGGACTGCCCGAGAAGGCCGTGGAAGGCAGCGGGGGGGGGGGGGGCATCATCTCCCACTGCTTGTAAAAGCAATCCTGCAGCTAATTAGCCACTAGGATTGCTTTTACATGAAAGCCGATCGCCGGCTGAAAAAAACAATACCAGGATGATGCCGGCAGCTGTAGGCATCATCCTGGTATAACCATTCAAAGTCCAGTGATGTACCAGTACATCTCTGATTCTTGTTGGGTGTATATGCTATGTTCTTTGTTTTTGTATGCAGCCTGTGGGCTGAATGAAAAAAAGAGAAGAAATCTTTGCCAGAAAAAGTGTGTGGTATGCCCATCATTAGAATATACCGCCCTGCATCCACCCACTTCTAATGATGGGCACACATTAGGTCACACTTTGCCACATGCGCCAGTTCCAAGATTGTACAAATGTTTAAATAGTGGCACGCTTGAATAAAAATTAATACAGTGATCAGTAAAAATCTGTTCACTGTAATCACTGGGGACAGGGCAGTGAAGGGGTTAACTGGGGGGGGGGGGCGATCAAGGGGTTAAATGGGATTTCTGGTGTACTAGCGGACAAACTGGTGCTATCTGGGAGGGGCGCTAACACTATTGGAAGTCGCCAGCGACACTGATACAGTGATCAGTAAAAATCTGTTCACTGTGATCAATGACACTGGTGACAGGGCAGTGAAGGGGTTAACTGGGGGGCGATCAGGGGGTTAAATGTAACCTAGGTGTGTTCTAACTGTGGGTATGTGCTGTTTTACTCATGTTTTGTATGTCTTCTTCTCTCTCTGAGACGGAATGTGCCCAGGCAAAGAAGAATGACATCATATCCTGTCCTGTGTAACTGTCAACACAGAACAGGATAGGACAGGGACCGATCATCCGATTTCAGCCGGACATCACTGGCTGAAACCGAATGATTGATCCCTCGGGGATCAAATGTTGACAGCCGCAGGTCCAGGGGGTGCACGCCCCCCCTGCCTGTGAAAAGCTCGGAAGCGCGGAGCACATTTAAAAACGTGGTTTTGCGCAGCCGTGCCGCCCTGCGACCGTTTTAATGCAGTGGCTGGTCGGCAAGATGTTAAAATTGCACTTACATAAAAACCATGTGTATGTCACTTTAAAGCCCAGCAAAAAGCAATTCCTTCTCAGAGTACAAGTGTAGTGCTACCAAGCCCGGCTCTACATGATTCGTTGTATGACGTCATCAGAAGCGTGGCTAGGGCACCCCTCTTGATGTGTATATATATATATATACCCCCAAGGAGTATGTGAACAAGCCATTGCAGAGATAAGCTACTTACTTCCACCAGAAGTGACGTCTGATCCTCCGATCTTCATATTGTTCTGGGTTAGTAACTTGGGAAATATTGAAGCAGGTGGATTAGTATAACAACCAGGTGAATAGCACTTTCTGAGAAACAAAGATCGCCTTTAATAATGTATCTAACATCTTTGCTCCAGGGAAGGAAAAAGCAGCTGAAAAAACATGCAAAAAGCCATGTTTTCCATATGCATTTTTTTTGCCTCTAAATGCCTGTAAATGCCTATACGTGCATGGACACATAGGCTAACAGAGAGGCATTTAGAGGCAGAATGAAAAATATTTGACGTCTGTAAAAACAGTGTTTTTGACATCCAGTGTGCATGAGATCTAAAGGATAACTAAACAAAGAACAAAAATGTAATATATTGCACTGGCTGCATCTCCATTTTTCAAGATAAAAACGTTGTAATAAATACAGAAAATGCCTGTTGGTCCTGTCACCTCCTGTGAGCTGCAGGGAGGAATATCTTTCCTCCAGCTATCTTCTGTAAACTACAAATACATGTTTGTAGCCCATACAGGAGATTGTAGCCCATATCATGGTGACAAACATGGCTCCCTCCATAGACACAGTGGAGGAGTGACGTATCCACCCAGAGATCGAAAGTGTGCTACTTTCAGGATTACAATGTGAAAAGAAAAAAATCCTAAAAAAAAAAAAAGAAAAAGAAAAGAAAACGAATCACATCAAGGATGAGTAAGCTGCAATATATTACATTTTTTGTTTGGGGCTTAAATACACTTTATGGTGTTATTAAGTTTTTAAAGCAGTATTTCACAGAAAAAAAAACTGCATTCAAAATTATTCATTCAAATTTTATCCCAAAGTGTCTTACTTCCATGTGAATGAGCCCTTTTGATCAGCAAAAAATAGAATGAATAGTTGCTGTGCTTATTGTCACCACTAGATGGCACAGTCATGTCATTGCATCTCTGCTGTTCATTAATGAATTTATGTTGGAAAGTGTGTAATTACCATACTGATTTATATACACTGCGTAGGTGTGTGTAATATTTTTACTGTATATTTTCTATCATTTGCTGTGTTTTAGATACTGTAGATTTTATGGCAATTATGATGATACAATCTTTTCTCTGAATATCTGTGTTCCATGACATCGCTAATCTACATAAAAGTACTGAACAAGCTACTCAACGAGTATATTTTACAAGCGTCTGTGTGTGTGTATATATGTACAGTATATCTATCTATCTATCTATATATATATATATATATATATATATATATACATACACACACACACACACATACATACATACACTAGATTACCAAAAGTATTGGGACACCCCTACAAATCATTGGATTCAGGTGTTCCAATCACCTCCATGGCTACAGGTGTAAAAAAACCAAGCCCCTAGGCATACAGACTGCGTCTACAAGCATTTGTGAAAGAATGGATCGCTCTCAGAAGCTCAATGAATTCAAGCGTGGTACCGTGATAGGTTGCCACCCATGAAATTTCCTTGCTACTAAATATTCCACGGTCAACTGTTAGTGGTATTAAAACAAAGTGGAAGCAACTGGGAACAACAGCTACTCAGCCATGAAGTGGTGGACCACGTAAAATGACAGCGGGGTCAGCGCATGCTGAAGAGCACAGTGTGCAGAAGTCACCAACTGTCTGCAGAGTCAATAGCTAAAGACCTCCAAACTTCTTGTGGCCTTCAGATTAGCACAACAACAGTGTGTAGAGATCTTCATGGAATGGGTTTCCATGGCCGAGCAGCTGCATCCAAGCATAACATCACCAAGTGCAATGCAGAGAATCAGATACCGTGGCGTAAACCTTGCCACCACTGGACTCTAGAGCAGTGGAGACATGTTCTCTGGAGTGACGAATCGCGCTTCTCTGTCTGGCAATCCGATGGATGTGTCTGGGTTTGGTGGTTGCCAAGAGAAAGATACTTGCCTGACTGCATTGTTACAAGTGTAAAGTTTGGTGGAGGGGGATTATGGTATGGGGTTGTTTTTCAGGGGCTGGGCTTGGCCCCTTAGTTTCAGTGAAGGGCTGCAAAGTATACCAAGGCGGGCCAAAACTCAATTGATTGCTGCAAAAGGCCCAATAACCCTACGGACTAAGATTGGGATGCCATTAAAGTTCAAGTGCGTGTAAAGGCAGGTCAACCAATACTTTTGGCAATAGAGTGTATATATCCCCAGCAATGAGGAATAGTACTTGCACTCGGTTCAGAAGTAATGCCTGGGTGCAATCCAGAATAAGTGTATCTAATCAAATGAATAGAGAGCACTTGCAACAGGAGAAGCTGTTATCAGAGTTCAAGATCGATACCAATATCTAAAACATCTGGTGCAGCTCCCCCACCCTAGCTCCACCTTATACTTACCTGAGGCCTATCTTGATCCAGCTATGTGCATGAGAGATACAGCTCTTCGAGGTCTCACTCTCCTCATTTGCGCACACATCAGCGGGAGCCATTGGCTCCAGCTGTTGATCACAGCCAGTGAGCCAATGAAGAGAGAACAGGGGGAGGGACCAAGCTGTGCTCTGTGTGTAAATGGACAATGTCCATTCATAGGAGCTTGGCTCAGGAGCGAGCCTGTCCGAGTGCTCCCATAGAAATAGGCTTTCTATTGGGGGCACTCGGCAGGAAGGAGGAGCCCTGTCTGGAGACCCAAACAGAAGAGGATCGGGGCTGCTCTGTCCAAAACCATTGCACAGAGCAGGTAAGTATAACATGTTTGTTTTGTTATTTAAATACAAACTTTAGAATCGTTTAAACTATCAAAACAGTAAAAAAAAGTTTGATAAAACGTCTGATAAAAATATAACCTCTGCCAGAATAAAAAAACAAATACAAAGGCTCAGATGACGTTGCTGTCCAATGACAAAGCAGGCTTACCCCCAATTTATAATAGCAGTCGAATAAAAGGCTGAACTCCATAGATGATATATTTTTCATATACATTGGTCTAGCTTAACACAATGCAAGAACTGTATGTATATGTGTATGTGACATCTGATTTGCCTCTGTGGAAGCTGTAAAGCACTGAAGTAGCCTACTACAGGGATGGTCCCAGTCTTCCAGGTGCTGTTTCAAGTGGCTATCCTTCTGAATAGTAACCACAGGCGTTCACTGACACCCAGTGCCAAATTTAAAGGGGGCAAAGGGGCAACTGCTCTTGGCAAAAAAACAACATAAAATATGATATTAAATAATAAAAATAAACAATAATAAAATATATATAGTATATATAAAATAATAATACTTTAATACCTTGTACCTTGTTAAGTAATATTTTGCCAGCCATCATTTGTAAAAGTTGTTTGTTTTTGTAGATTGCATCATTGCTAAAAACACATTTTGGCAGCTCCAGCAAACTACATGCAGTATACTGTAGAGCGTTTACAGTCTTCAGAAAGTTAGCCTATGACTGTGTGTGAGTGTGACTTCAAAATGATGTTGTGTCATGCTTCTTACAAATGTGTAACTGTCATTGAGAATGTGAACTAACTCTGTGTATGAAGGGCCCCCAGAACCTGAAGTGCCCTGGACCCCCAAGGTCCAAATCTGGTCCTATCTGACACCACTGTATTTCCTCTTCACCTTGTCTAATCATAGAACGCTTTGCATTCCTTGAGAAAAATGCAATGTAGCCTCTAAATGGTGGGTGTGCTGAGCAAGTGAATCCCTATGGTTACTATGGAGAAGGACAGCCACTCAGCACTGGACCCAGAAAACTGTAGTAGCTTGGGCTACTACAGTGATTTACAGCTTCCACAGAGGCCGATCAGTTATCACATATACATGCTTATATTTTGCCAAGGTGGACCAGTGTAAGTATGCAAAATATATATTCCCTGGAGTTCAGCATTAATTTGACTGCTCTTATAAATTGCTTGCTATTGTAATTAGGTAGCAACTGCACATGAGTTTTTGTATCACTGATCTGGTATCACACATGCATATTTATATTGTGCCAAGCTGGCCCAACGTAAGTATGAGATATATAGGATATCATCCATGGAGTTCATTGTTATCTTTTTTGTTAATACCAAATACCTTCTTCCAAAGAAATCAAGGCAAAGAAACTTTGCACTCTCTAACTTGTATTTATTACCTGCATTGTTCTATTTTGTCTGTGCAGACTATTTTATGTCCTCTGATAGGTGGTTAGATTCCATGGGGTACTTGAGACACATCCTCTGCACAATATATAGACACAGAAACCTATGTCTTTACTTTTCTATGGTGCCAAGCAAAATTCGCATTACGTCTTCCAAGAGCCCATGCAACAATATAAGTAATGTTCTTTACAAAGCTGAATATTTTTCTGCACTATCTTCTCACTTGTCAGAAAACAGGAGTCAATCATTAGTAATTATAGTAAAAATGTAAATACAAAAAGCCTTTCTTGCTATTGATCAGTTCCTTTTTCAGTATCATGTTTTATTATATATTTGTATCCCTTTCCTTTCATTTGTTCTCCTTTGTACATATGTGCAGTTACAGTGTAGTAAAGTCATTCATTTATATCTTCAGTGACACCAATTACTTATTTTGTCTTTTTACCCCTTCTCAGCGTTTCCATTCATTGATGAATCTCTAGTAATCCATTAATGCATTGTATGTGTAAGTGTAATAGTTGTGATGACCTTGTTGTATAATATCTGATGTTTGTATTGCAGGATTTTAAACACCACGTTGTTTGAAAGCTGGGAAATTGTGGGACCATATCCCTCCTGGTGGGTTTTTAATCTTCTGCTTCTAGTCCTGCAGTCTTTGCATCTATTCTGGTCTTACCTAATAATCAAGATCACCTGCAAAGCCATCTCAAAAGGCAAGGTGAGGTTTGTGCTCTCCATCCCTATTATAGCCATCAGGCTTTGAACACAGAGTACTGTTTGAGAATGTACCAGAGCTTTGATAACCCTTCCAAGCAAAACGCAATGTCACTCACAATAAAAGGAGCTATTCAAAACCCTTACTTCTGAAAATCAATAATTTCATTTTCACAGTAGTATATTCTTTTCCTTCCTGGCTCAAATGCTCACAGACCTTTTCTTTTTCGACCCATTCTTTCAACAGATCTTTACTATCAGATATGAAATAATAGAAATACCAAAAAATAGGTGCGAATAACAGTTTTCCTCTCTTTTCAGTAGAAATTGAAAAGTGAAATGTTTGGTATTATTAAATTAGAACTAAACCTCAAAACAAATAAGCAATATATTGAAGTTTACCAGTCCTGAAAATTGGTGGCTGCAATATTTTTTTTTTCAGGCTAAGAGCATTTTAAGTGAGTACAGATCTTGCCAGAAGTGTTGTGTCATTGTCGCTTCCTTTAAAAATATCTTCCTTTTTAAAAAAATATTTTAATTGTTTTTTACTGTAAAAAATAAACTTACAATACATGCCTAAAGTGGAGCTCCACCCAGAAGGGGACGATCCGCTTTAAGGCTTTGTTCCCTGCTCGCTGTTAAGGATTGGCACCTTTAGGGTCACAGGACAGCTGGTGAACCCGGCCGGTGTGAGGACACCACAGGATAGAGGGACAGGTGATTGTCTGTTTTTTAAAAGTCAGCAGCTTCACACATTTCATTGACACATTTCAATATCTCTTATATAGAATAAGTAGAATAAGCTTGATAAAAAAGGTATTCTGTCCTAAACTTTTTTCACCTGGGGCAGCAGGAGACCAAAATAGGTCTACGTACCCCCCCAGCAATGGGGGGAGGACTCAATTTTTCAGATCTAGAACTGTACAACTTAACATCTTTAACTAAATACAAGGGATTGAATTCATGGCACCTCAATGCACATGGACACTAAACTTGACCAAAACATGACCTTAAGAAACAACCTATTGTATGTTCTTCATATACATAAAGAGCTCCTTCCCACCCAGGTGTCAGTAAATCCCTTTTTATTCTTTGTATGGTTGGCATGGCACAAAATATGCACACTTTGCACACTCAATAGCCACGCATCTCTTTTCCTTCCCTTATGGAACAATTCAGATGTCCTGGAGTCCTCTGGACTTCCTACCCTTAAACAGTGGCACAATGCAGGTCTATGTAATCCTTGGTGGATGTTAACATTAAGATCTCTCCCCTACAATACAGCCCTAGAGAAATTTCCATACTTATCTACTAACCCCTTCCTTTTCCTAAAAGTGAAATCCTACATTGTCTCTACTATTAAGAAAGTTTCTCAAAAGGACTGAACAAATTCACTAGACACACTTGTAGGCTATCCAAACTCTAGTAAAAATGCTATCTCCACCTTATACAACTTTTTCTGGCAGTTGCTGGACTATACCTCCACCACAGCTGGTCTTACCAAATGGACCAAGACTTATATATCTCCACATCGCTCAAATCTTATGGGCCTAAGCTCCTCTTCTTGCTGTGTGAAATGTGGACAATTAGATGCAGATTTGTTCCATGCCTTCTGGGCATGTCCCAAGATTAAACGATTCTGGAACACAGTTGAGCATTATGTTACCACACATTTAGTAAGCTACTTACCTCTAACCCCTGAATTAGACACTAACACTAACACTCTAACACTCTTTGGCCTAATCAACATCCCAGGTGTTAAAATCTCAAGTGGATGTAAACTTCTCCTAACTGTCATATCCCTTACATAAGGAGTCAACTGGGAATCTTTAATTCAAACATTGCCTTCAGATACCCAACATTCAATAGTACAATGTTTTCAATATACACAACAGTTTCAAACCAGACTGCTAACCAATGACCCTCCAATTGATATCCTACCCTCCAATTAAAATTAAAATATATTTTACGCTAAGGCCTCTCCTCTTTCCATCATCGACTAGTTATTAGACCGACGTCTTTCTTTTTGTTTATTAATGTCTATCTTTCAACCCAGCACTGATACCTGACAAACTATATGCTTGCAATTTTGCCAAATGTTATGGCTAATTGTGAACTGCATTCTCGCACCAACAAA